CACCTTAATAATCATTAACTTGTGGTAGTTTCAAGTAATAAGCCATATGTTGGAGGAATAGATGAAGTAAAATATAAAAGACTCTTTATAACCACGTTGGTAGTATGTTTTTCAGTGTCCATTAAACCGAGCATACACTCGTACACACATTGTTCGGTATTATTAATCGTTACTCCGTTTGTGCCAAACAACAGTAGGTCAAGTATATAGGTTGGGTCGTTTTTTATCGACTAATATATGTATGTATATATGTTTTGAAACTTAACAAGGCGTATAAATATAATAATTATAATTATAATAATAAAAACACAAATCAAGCATTAGTAAACTAAATAAACATTAACGCTCTAGCGAATTATTCATTTTCTTCTTCTTTTTTTTTTTCGTTTTTATTTTGACTTTTTAATATAGAAAACGGAACAACAAAAATATAATCAAGTAAAATATGCATCCATTTATAGAAAACTGAATACAAACATATATTACATGCATAAATGCATGTGTGATAACTAATAAAAGCTACATTATATATATATATATATAATAATACATATGTATGTCATGCATGTGCCTTAGACAGCACATGTGCAGTAGTAGAAAATAAAATGCACCATATATGTTATTAGGTTGCAAGAGACGCAATTAAAGCACTGTTACTCTAATGCTACTTATATATGTATATATATGTATATGTATATATATCAGATTATCATGAATATTTGAAAAATTAACGTCATATAAGTTTCATAAATCCTTCGTATTTGTCTCAATTAGTTGCCTTGATTTTATCGTCGCAACTCATAATTTAGTATTTTATTATACCCTACATAGCTTGGGGTATATTAAATTAGTGTGGTAATATGTAACATGAAAAAGGCCTTGCGATTGGCCCATCTTTTATTATACCGATCGATGCCAAATCATAATTTGAATTGATCTAAGCCCGTTTGTCCGTCTAATGTCTGTTCATCTAAATTTGTGCTCAAATTGCAGGTCACAATTTTCGAGATATTTTGGTGAAATTTGGTCCAGTGACCAACATGAAAATGATTCGTTTTGATTCACATTTTCGATCACTCCTCTTATAACGCCCTATTCTGAAAAGTCGTTATGTGAGAAATATTGCAATTTTCAAAATTTCTCGACAAAAGTGGCGATGTAGTAGCATTTTGGCATTCTTAATGGAAACCTTGCATCATTTTTGAATACCCTCTCATTAAGGAAGACTGAAGTTTCTATGACAAAGGGGTATAATTTTCAATTCTTCATGATGAAAATTATATCATAATAGTAATTTAATATAAAAAAAACTGGACTGTACCAAATTTGGACCCTGTCGGGCTATTTTTTAGATTCTACCCTAATAAGGATTTTCACGAAAATTGTCCCTTTGTAGAGTAGTCTAAGGTAAGTCTAAGTTTCAACAAGTGGTGATGGAAATTGAACTCTACGCCTATTTTTGGATCCTGTCCTATGTAAGGATTAAACTTGTTCTACATTAGGTTGCGTTTTAGTCCCTCTTCCCCATAAATATTCATATGAAGACTATGCCTTTATATAGATATAACTTTTGTGTTGTATAATAAAAATAAGAATTGTGTTAGACAATGTGATGTAATTTAATGGCTTAATGGTCGGCCTTGCTCGACTACAATGTTCTTATTTGCTTTTTATTATTTTTTGTAATTCTCACCCAAAATTCTTTACTACTATAAAAAATTAACCGTTATTCACAGTAAGTACGGCGCATTTCCAAATTTCGAAAAAATTTCATGTTAACTTTAATAAAAGTCTGTCACAATGTCATATTGTCTATGAAAGAATATAAGTTTTTCCAATCGTTGTACAGACAGTTATGTTTCGCATAGAATGGTATACACATATCGTTATATATGTCACTGTACTTATTACTATTTACACAATTTTTATGTTTTTATAGTTTTCTTTTTTTTCGAAAGGGTATATAACGACGATAATTTTTCTTTGTTGAGCGATAATATATTTAAAATGGTTAATTCTTTAATACCTTCGATGTCTTCTTCATTTATTTCGGGCATTCTATTTAAGGTATAATAAAAAAAATGTAAAAATAGTACAGTGGGCTATAGGCCACCATCTACACCACCCTGTAGTTATTTCTTTAACGACTTCTCAAAATGGGACTTTATATGGGAAGTAGTCAAAAAAATGTTTCAATCCGAATTGTTTCCAATAGCTTTTGTCGTCGACTCAAAATAGGTTTCATTAAAATATCTCAAAAATTGTGGCTTGTAGACTGAATATAAGAAAACGAGACGGACAAACGGACAGACAAACTTTGATCGATTCAGAAAATGATTCTAAAACGATTGGTATGAAAAAAAGACGTGTCTATCTCAAGTCCTTTTGGGTATTACCCACATCCTCACAATCTTAATACGCACTTGTACCGTAAGTGACGTGTAGAGTGTAAAAATATTAAACCTTAGTATGTGCTAGTAGTGTAGTTAGTATGTAAACGCCGTAAAAATAACCTGCACCTATCTTATATGAACCTATATAATCTGTAGATCAGAATCAGAAGATTTTATTAGTGGGTATTGAGCTTCGTTACGCGTACCAGCCAAACCTAAGACTGCATCGATCTGTGGTGAATGTGTTAGGGGTGGCAGAACTTCCCGTTCGAAATGCAATAGTGCCTCTGTGGGCAACAGCAGCAACAAGCAGCCCAACTGGCATTTTCATACAAGTTGCGAGATGGATATTTCTCCTTCTTCTGGACCCCTGCCATCGCATGTAAACGTTTAGATTTCTAAAGTCGATTCATCGACTAACATACTATTTGAATGTTCTCTGAGAGTTTGAGATGGGTTTTCGTCCAATAAGTCCTCCAATTCATTGTTTTCGAGCTTTGTTGATCCTGCAGTGGGCGGTTTTTTGTCATTCACATCAAAATTGTCGCTTTTAAATCGTTTAAACCAAGATTCACAATTGGGATATGATGGCGCAGCTTTCTTCAAATTAAATAAAAACAAAAATCAATCTCGAAAATGCAATTGTGAGATTCCCACGATTAGCATCGGATGTGCAGAAAACGTAAAAAATGTGAACAAATAAAAATTTGATCACTTATAACTTTGAATGGGCGTAGCAGATTTTTTCCATTTTTTTTTTACATGAACAGAATAGTATTGAATTAAAGTAGATACAGAAAATTTCAGCATTCCAACTAAATTTTTGGTTGGAGTAACAGATATGTGCCCAGCTTACGTTTCACTTTGGACGTGTGCTTTGACCAATTTGAACCATTTTCGGCTGCAATCTGAATACTATGAAAGTGCTTGCAATGTTTTTGCCAAATTTAAAGCCAATTGCTTCATTTTAGCGATCAGAAGAATTTTTACTACTGACAGACAGACGGACATATTTAAATTAATTTAAAATATGATGCGGATCATGAATATAAATACACTATGGCCACTTTAAAGCTTTCTTCTGAGTATTGCAAACGTTTTGATAAAACGAATATATCCTTATTCCTCGGTGATGGGTACAAAAACGAATTAAAATTTTGTTCATCGCCTGGCATATTGTAAGAAACTTATATAATATCGAAATCGGAACAACTTAGAAACAAAACCAGTTTCTTCTGGACATGATGAAAACCCATGAAGTTCTTACTTTAATGCTTGTCACATCTCACAATAATAGGATAATGTACATTTACCACTAAGATTCGATTACGTAATAAATTTTTTTGTTCCTTTTCTTTTAACTTTAATTTTGAACTTAACTTTTTAATGGTGAAAACACCAAAGTAGAAATTCGAAGCATGTATTATTACTGACGTTAACCGTAGTAATTATCTTGAAGTAATTTGATCTAAAAAAGCAACTATATATCAGTTATATCAGTTTCTATCCGAAATAAATTACCTCTCAAAACACTCTTTACTTAAAAATCCCTTCTTAAAGACGTGTTATGATTCAATCAACCGATATAGCCGAAATAAGTGAAACTGCTGCCTTTGAGAAGTCAATCATTAATTCATTATCAATTATCCTTACATTTACTAACTATGTCTCTTAGATTGTCATATGTATTTATTTAAAGTAATGGGTATCCAAGATTCGCCTTAAATCGAATAGAATTTTCTTACATTTTATGTTTTAAACACTCACATGACAAACTACATACGCGATTATTACTGCAATTAACTTTACACAAATTAGAAAAAAAAAAAAGAAACAGTGCATAGTTAAGCGAAAAACTTTATGTGACCTTGAATTCCTTATGTATGCATTTGCAAATCTTAAGGCTTGAATATTAATATTGTAATAGAAAAAAACTAAAACAAAACAAACGTTGTTTTTTTTTTTTTTAATTAAAACAAATCATAGCAGATTTGCAAGCACATGGTTTACATGACTGGCTTAAATTAAAATACAGTTAAAGCTTACAATAAAAACCGAAAAAATTCAAAAAATGTTAATTGTCATACAAACATTTATTACATGGAAAATAAAGAGCGCGGAGAAAACTATATATATATATGCACGCATGCATATACGAGTTTGACTGACTTGAACACACACAAAACTAAGAGAACATTAATAGGTCTTTAAGATATATGGTGATCACTTGTTTTTTATCTTCTTCTTGCTTTGCATAGTTAAACCAGAAGAGATCAAAAACATGTGAAAACAAAAAAAAAAAAAAATAGTAATAATCACAATAATAAAAACAATAAGAGGAAAAACAAACAGAAATAACAATGTTATCTAATGTGTGTAAAAAAAATGTAAAAAGAAATGAAAGTAACAGAGGTAAGAGGTAAAGTTTTTCCTTTCTGTTAATTTTAATAATGGGGGAAAAGGTACGAGATGTAATTACATAACTTTCCAAAAAGCGATTTTTAGAGAATAAAAACAAAACAAAAAAAAAAAAACGTTTATAATAAAAACATTATTTTTTAATTAAAACGTACAAATAACGAAAATGATGATAAATTTTCTTCAGACCTTTGGCAAAAATTGGCAGCGAACAGAGAAAATAATTTTTCTGCTTCTTCTCTTCAGCTTGTAAATTCGTGATTTTTTCTCGTTTTTCTTAAATTTTTCGTAAAGTCGTTTTTTTTTTCTTTCTTGTTTTTACTATTATTAAAAATCGCAAAAAAAAAGAAGACAAAAAAGAAATTATTAAGCTTTTTGTTTACATATTTGGCAAGATTTTAAATTGACAATAAAACTACGTAAAATTTTGTAAGAAAACAATTAAGTACAAATTCCGTATACACACATACTTTTACACATGCACGCACATGCAAACACATACGCGCGCGCGTATATATATATACATTATGTATTGAATTTTACACTCGGTTTCGTTCTTTTAAATGTTTGTTTTTTAATTTTAATATCCTTAAGTACACTTGATATTTTGTATATATTTTCAAACCTCTTGAATCGTTGTTGTAAAAAAAGTATAAATTTTTATAAAATAATAGAGCAACAAAATAAAAATCAAAACCGTTTTAAAGCCCTCAATACAATGCGCGTTAAAGAGCAATGAGCGTGAGTGCATATAGCACGACTAAATCGTAAATTGAGTTTCGTTTAGCCAAGAAGTAGTAGCAAAAAATAGGGAAAAAATTAATGAAAACTTACACACACACAGGTACAATATGTAGCCTGTATCGTTATATTGGCATTAACAACGAACGAATATATCTTTCTCTCCCTCTCTCTCTTTTTTTAACTGCGTAATGCTAGTTTAGTGTTTAACTTGTTTTATGTAGGCTTTCTTTGTTGATTGAAACGCGTTTTGTTTTCTTATATGCGGCTTACATATACAATTTAGATTGTAAATATTAATTCACTGAAGTTCTTTTGCAGACGTAATGGAGATCGATAATAACATTCCTTTTATATCGCAAGTGTCAGTGTGATTTGTCTTATTTACAAAATTATTAATCCTTAGCAATGCGAAAAAAATCCTGCTAAAATAATTAGGTATGTCATTCAAAATTATTATCTAACGCTGTCACTTCGAAAAAGTATTAAGCATAGAAGTACATTACATTAATTTCCTCACTGTATTGGTATTAATCAGTGAGAACTTAAAAAAATTCATATATAATAACGTCTGCCTTCTATTCAATTATGGTGTGTATTTCGAAAAGAAAGCTGAAATTTGATTCATATATTCAAGTTTGCAAATGAAAATAATCCGACCACAAATAAGCATGCAATTTTGATAATTGCAACAATTCTAGATTTTGATGCAACCGATTTCCCTCTGGTACGAACACAAAATTATGTTAGTGAAGTTTTATTCGATTTTTGACGAATCTTGGTTTTTGATGAATGTATATTTGAATTCTTCCTCTGGCCATAAGTTGACAACAAAATAAAAAGACACTTTGTTATACCATACGTTTTTTTCTCGGAGAAAAAAATGAAATTCCTTGTATCTATTTCTTTCCATTCACAAAATATAAAATCTTGATAATTAATTCCACCAGCCATAATCAACCAAAGGTTTTCATAAAAGAAAAAACGTTATTTATTGAAAATAACATGAGAGTGTTGCCATCACTTGGTACGTCAGCCATATACACAACAATTGTGTACAGATAGCTATCTTTTTTTTTCTCCGTTTTGTATGTATACTCTCTCTGAATTCAAAATTATTTAAAGCTTTTTTGTATACTTAAATGCTGTCTCTCTAGTGTTCGCTCTCCCGCGTTATCATTAATTAATATTCGAATATTGAAAGTGGGAAATATGTAAGTTATTTGCATTAGTTAAAGGCGGGAATAAAGCGGTTAATAAAATAACTCCTTCTTATTGTACTTCGTATTCATCGAAATTGTAAAATTCTATTATAAATATAAAAATAAGAACACTCTCTCTTTCACATTCACGTATGCGTTAAACATAAGAGTTTAAAAAAAACATAAGAATTACTACAGCTCTTCTTCTCTTATGTCGAATTGATAAGGTGACCAGAATATTTTGGCAGAAAAGTGTTACACACAGCCTAATTTCTGATTGCGCGTAAAACTAAATCGTTTTTTTTTTCTTTTACCTGTGTTTATATGCATTTACTTCTAGTGACAGAAGAAATGCGATGCGATGAAAATAAGTACAAGATTCGAAAAATGAACATAGTACTACGTAAGGGAGTACCGTTGGTGACCTTATAATTATTCTATTTTTAGGATAACAGAATATATTTTGTTAGCATGTTTCACATATGTAGTTAAATTAAAGTTAAATATAAATGTAAAACCTTCAAATAATTCTTTAGATAATATTTTTTTTAGTTTTAATGAGAAAATAGTGTAGTAGGTTGTGTTAACTTTGTAATTCTATTCATAATATTTAAATGACACGCGTAGAGAATCCTTCTCGGTATTTTTATGTTATCTTCTTTTATACAAAACAATATAATGCGCTGAGTTTCGTGTAATTTTAATGAAAAGTCAAACCAATGAACCCAACTTTGTATCGCTTGCATATAAATAAATGTACACAAAATTTACGTGATGCACTCACTCACTTATATAAAGTGTAACTGCACACATGTTTAACTGGAAAGCATACAAAACACACTCATACATATAAACACGCATACACACACACAAGAGTGAAATAAACATTACAAGTATGTGTGCAAACGTACCTAAACAAATAGCTGCTGCTTTTGCTTTTTAAATTGATTTAAAACGGTTCAATTGCCGAATAGAAAAACGAAAACTTTTCATAACATTACAAAGGGTACCTGCTCCGCAAGTAAATTAGGGCTTTCAGGAATTTTATTAAAATGAATAAACAAGAATTATTTCCGAAATGTTTTCTTATTAAAAGCGTAAAAGTTTTATATACTTTGATATATGATAAAACCTGATATCAATCTTATTATCTATTAAATGAAATAATTCACGTTTTGATAAGTTTCTTATTTTTTATATGCGTGACTAGAAAAAGGATGTCTCTTATTTTTGTCATTTACTTTGGAATAGTATAATGTACAAATATAATTTTTACCAAAATCTCATTAAGCAGACACACATATATATGTAGATTTTGCAGCCTTCACATACATCACCCCACTGTGGAGTTATGTTAAATTGATCACATGAGTCGTAACAAGAACAACTGTATAACCAAGTTTATGAAACGTGCTCCTCCAAGGAGTATTCTACCCTTTTTAACCTGTAGCTTGTATCCCGTTGCTCTGTCGGTACATATTTTTTTCCTTGCTTTTGAAAGTAGGTGGTAAGAAGCAATGTGTAGGAAATGTAAAAAAATGGAAAAATTGAAAAACAAAATCAGAAACAAAAATTATATGTGATATGGGTCGCACCTCTAATATTCACATTCTATAATCTCACGATCACTTGTATAGTAATTTATCACCTTTTTTTTTCGTCGACCATATGCATATCAACAGTAGAGTTTTACATGTTCGTGGAAATTATTTGCACCGATTTTTACATAATATCTGTTATAATGAAAGCAAGATTTCTTTGCCTTACTACTATCGCACTTGTAAGCGCATTTTTGCATTACAACGTTAAGGGAGTCGTTTGGTTATTTGTGCTAGACTTTGAGTTGATATTTTAGGTGAACTACGGATTCGTTTTTTTTTTTTTACGTACATTGTAGGGGTCACATGATTTTAACTTAACTTGTCGCCAACAGTTATATATATACACTCAGCTCTCGTTTTACACGGTAAATACGAAGCTTAGAAAATCGTGCAAAAAAAATCGAGTAAAAAATAAAAATAGATGCGACATATGGTAAATTTGTGGTATGTTCACTTTAAAAACTCATGTACGATGACAAAAGTCTAAATATTTTCCCAAAAAACCGTGCAAAATAAGTAACAATGAAATTCATATTACATATGCATCAGGCGAAAACAATTCATTTATATATATATATATATATATAACATATAAAAATTTGAACTGAAATTAGGAATAAAAATCACTTTTGCAACTATTCATCGCTACATTATTACCGGATTAAAAATGATATGATCAGTAGATATGTCAGGTATGTCTAGCACAACTGTCGGGTTTAATTCAAGTGAAGAATGCAAGAATCGTTACTAACAGGCTCAGATTGGTTTTTCATATGGTTATAAATTTTGTTATAAGCTTCTGCAGACACTGTCAAAAAATTAGAATTAGAATAAGTGAAAACATTATAGTTGGACTAGGCCCGGCCCTACACCACATTGTCTAATACAATTCTTATTTTTGCCATAGAACACAAAAATTCTATCCTGTTTTTACAGGAACACGGTATTATGGAACTGTACATTAAAAAGCTCTTTGCAAATGAAGTCTCCCGTTCCGATAAAATGGTTGTGCCCAAGATGTTCAAAAATTGAGGCGCTTCAATTTACGTGCTATTGTCTGACGTGCTCTAAGTCTGACAGACAGACATGGTTTAATCAATTCAGACTTTTACGCTGATCCCGAATATATTTATAGGATCTCTGAAGATTCCCTTTAGGTGTTACATACATTGTGGAAAAGAACAAAATGAGTATACTGTCATCTTACAGCGGTGGGTATAAAACTGGATTAACTATTGACCAATAAATAATCAGATTTTTTTTTTTCCTAGATTGGTTTTGTCTTTTGTTTGAAACATTTCAGCCCTTTGTGTTTAGGGGTGTATTCAGTTTGTGGAGATAGATATCGATGCCCAAAATAACTTGCAGAGACACATCTTGAATTGTATTAAACGATTTAGAAAGTTGTTTGTCCGTCTATCCGCCTATCCATGTATGTTTGTGTTTAACTCGCAGGTCGCAATTTTTGATGTTGATTTCATTTAAGGACCATTTTTTCGATCACTCCCTCCTACCAACCCTCCCTCCCTTCCCCTGCGCATATAAAGCCTTATTTTGAAAAGCTGTTATATGAAAAACAATGCAAATTATCAAAATTTTTAACACTTTGACATTCTAAATTGAATACGAAGAAGTTGGTGCGGCTGAGGCGAATTTTTGAACCGTTTAACTGAATCTTTACATGGTAAAAATGTTCAATATTTAATATTTTATGAGGCAAATTGTTTCACACAAAAGTAATTTAATATAAAAACGAATCTTACCGAATTTGGACCAAGTAGGTCTGTCTTCTTGATTTCACTTTAGATAAGAGTTCTAATGATAAATACATTTTTTATATGATAAAAATGTCCAATTTTCGATATTTCATGAGGTAAATTGTTTCACTACAATAATTTTGATATATAAAAAACCTTAACTGTATCAAATTTCGGCCAAGTAGATCTATTTTTTTGAATATCATCGCATACATAAATTATGTTATATTAAATATTATGCTCATACATGCCCTGATCTAATTTTTAATATATTATAGTAAAAATGAGACCATAGTGGCAATGTAACATAAAAGTTG